TATGCGTAACTGGGATTTTTTCACCGTAACTACCCGTAATTGCGATTTCTTCATCGCAGTTACGCGTAGTTACGGCGCAATTTTCCGCAATTACGGGTCACAGTGCGATCGCAGTTACGCCATAACGGCGCCACACCCTCATCGTAATGAAACACATGGGAAGTTTCTTTTTTGATGAATAACATAAACCTTGATTTTTCGCTCTCATATATAAGAAATACTTGCCATGTATTCTTTCATATCTGACTTTTCACAACCAAAACTTTCTATAGGCAAGAAAGATATCATTTCATTCGAAATGACTAAAAAGAACTTATATGCATATATAGTTAATATTGTAGCATGATAAGACATAAAATTGCTGGAAATATGAATGAAAAAAAGCTGTGTCTCGCATGTTCACTGATCTGCGATTTATCAATAATGGTTTAGATTATCATGCTACTAGAGATACACAAAGTCATCATTTGCCAATTCGAACACTGATCATTTCTTGAAAGATGAACATGTTTGAGAAAAAAACATTGTAGGATATTCATTTTCCCGAAATTTATAAGACAATTGTCCAAGCGCCAACAAGAAAAATCAATTTTTTTTTGTCAAGTAGAGAATTCAATTTTTTTCGAAAAAGATCATATCATAGGAGTAAATTATTTGAAACTGGTTCGGGTCCTAATCTTCTATGTTTCTACATATGATTTTTTTTACCACTACTTGATTAAAACGATTTAATTATTCAAGAAATTTTCAACCTATAGTTGGAACACAAGTCTTTTGTTTTTGCTTTTCATTGTATTGTTGATGATTTCGTGTTTCAAACTATTGATATATAAATATATCTTAATAGGGTCCAATCTTGGCTCATCTTTAACAAAAGCCAAGTATTTTTCCTCGATGGCATAAAATGCATGACGTCACTCTCCAATTCAACAATCAAGATCTATTGTCTTCTCATCGTGTTGGAATTCTTGATAATATCTTGCAAAGTGCTTATTATCTCACAAGTTTGACTGCTCAGTGGTCGGGTGTGCTCAATGTAGCCAAGAATAATATTAGAACGTATCCTACTATTAAGCGTCTTCACTTATTGTTATCATTCGGACGAGATTGGCATGGCGATGTTGATGTCGATGTAATGGTGCTACTAGATCCTTCGGTGATTGCTCATCTATTTCCTTGTCTACGTCAGCTAAGCACATCTGGTGCTTTATCTCGTGGTCGTATTTGTTTGACATCATTGGATCCTCTTGTTTCACTCGTACTTTCTCTAGTTGCACATCTTTCGCCTCATTTAACATTTCTTTATCTTAACAATTGTGAAGCATCTTTGTCAAGACTTGTTACTTTGTCTAAAGACAAAAAGAAACATGTTTGTGATGTTTTAAAAATGAATATATCATCTGCTGCTCGCACTTCAATCACTGATGGTGATAGATTGAGAATTTGGTTGTAAAAACAATAAAAATAAAATAATAAATAAGATGAAATTCGTCGCAGATATATTTTTCTTCAAGAAATGCTGATGTTGTTTT